AACATTGTCTTGTCTGTTGGTTTGATGTATACGTCTGATTCTAGTTTGTTTTGTTCGTTGATATAAATCCTTGTGTCTAGAAAATGTACAGTCTTAGTAGAGTATTCAAATTCGAATTTGATAGTCTTGTGTAGTGTGTTCATATATTCAAGAAATCTAATTAAGGATGCTTCACCGTGGCACCATATAGCAAAAATGTCGTCCAGAAATCTGATCCACTCTAGAGGAGTCAGACCTTCTGGTGCATTCTGGAGGATTTTTTCCTCTAGTGCAGCCATAAATATATTGGCATATGAAACCGCCACGGTTGTTCCCATAGCAGTCCCGTGTGTTTGTAGGTAGTATTTGTCGTTGATTTCAAAGTAGTTGTTTTCAAGTATTAGTTCAAGCATGCTTCGTATCATTTGTATGTTGACCCCTGTAGTGTCGTGGTTGTTAAGGTGTTTGGTGGAAGCGTCAATTCCCGCACGGTTGGGAATATTCGTATATAGACTTTTAACGTCAATTGTGATTAGTATAAATTCATTAGGTAGTGTATCGTTTAGTTTAAAAATGCGTTTAAGAAAGTCTGTAGAGTCCTTTATATAGGATGGTATGTATTTTATGAGTAGTTTTAGATAAACATCTACATACTCTGATAATCTGACGGTGGGGCCCTCACATCCTGAGATAATTGGCCTTCCCGGTACGTCAGGTTTGTGTACTTTAGGAAGCAGGTATAATGTAGGCTTCCTAATTGGTTTATCAATTAATAGGAATTTAAATGTTGTGTGGTCAATAAGTTGATGTGTGAAAAATGTTTTCACGATCTTGTTCAATTTAGTAACCAGTTGTGGGAATGGATCCGTTTCGATAAGTTTGTAGTTTCGTTTTTCGTTTAGTTGTTTATTTGCCTCCGCTATATAAGATTCTCTGGGCCAGATAACTATAGCGCCCCCTTTGTCGGCGGGTTTCACTATAACTTGTTCGCTGTTGCGAAGGTTCATTACAGCCTGTGTTTCTGCATTAGAAACGTTGTTATTTAGCCTAGTGGTGTAACTGTCTTTGTTTAGCTCGTGAGAGGTTTTCAGTTCGAGTAAAACACGAGACATGTATTCCAAAAGGTTAGCATTGTCCGGTAGTGGTGGTGTGAAGTCACTTTTCGCTTTGAATGGATGTTTTATATAGTTGTTATTCGAATGTCTGTAATGGTATTGAAGGTACATGTTTCTTCGGTATTGTAGGTATGATGTATAGACAGATCGGTAACCAATGGGTTTAGGTTTGCGAACAAATTTAAGTCCCTTGTTTAGTATGCTTTTAGTAGCATCCGAGACATGTATATTTGATAAGTTAATTATATTATCCCCTGCCTTTTGTTTTTGGATTTTATTGAGTAGTTGTTTTTTTGTTTTGTGTCTGTTTCCGTTTTGGTTTCGTTTGTTCTGTAGTTGTGCTAGTAGTTTTGGTTTGGTTATTGTTATTTTCGGTTGTTGTTGGTCCTTTGTTTGTCCTGAAGGTAGCTTAGGATGTGTATCGGTTGGATAAAATTTGTGATTTGTTGTTGGATGTGGTTGGATAATAATGGGTGTGTAGGTCGAGTAGCTGTTGTTGTAGTTGTAGGTATCAGTGGATATCGGGTTGGTTGTAGTAATGGGTTAATTGGTATTGGAAGTGTTGGTGTGTTGGGTCTGTAAAGGAAGTTAGATCGTACTGTTGTGGATGTCAGCGGGCCTCTTGGGCGAGTGTGCGGTCTGTTAAATGTGGTCATAAAGTTAGTGCTATATGTTGCCATGTCTGTTTGTATGGGTGTATGTATGTTTTCCGTGATGTGCTGTGCAGTATGTGTCTGTATTGGTGAAGAGTTTTTTGCAGTGGTAGTATCCGTTTGTTTATTGTTGTTGTCTTGTCGTTTGCCTTTAAGTCTTTTAATGTTTTTGTTTGGTTTGTAGTGTTGGTTGCCGTGTTTTGACATCCATCTTGCCAAGAAACGTTGGCCTATTTCGTCTGTTCGTTTTAGTATTTCTGTTGTTTTTGTAACGTCGGTTATGTTGTCCATTATTCGTTTTGTAGCGTGTGTTATTTTTGTTTCTATATTTGTAAGTTTCCGTTTTTGTTGTTCAAGCAATATATCGAGTTGTTTGTAGGCGGCATCTCTGGATGCTTGCACCCAGCGTTTGCGGAGGTCTTCGTCCAGTATGATGTGGCAGTCCGTTGTTTTGTTTAGGTTGTTGGGTAGCGTTCCGTCTCTTTTGTGGGTCGTAAGGTTCTCCAGTGTTGCTTTCGTCTTAATTTGTTTTTCCTTAAGGTTGTTTAAGGTTTGAAAAGTAGTGTGTAGATGCCTCGGGATAGTTGATAGCAGCCTGTATGTCGAAGATGGTGTTTCTTTATTGTCGGTGTCTGTGTCAGTTTTGTAGTCAGAGTTGTTGTTTGGTTCGTCTAGGTTATTTGTGTTGGGTTGGTTACGGTCATTCCGAGGAGGCGTTCTTTGTGTCAAGTTTTGTAGGCCAGTGTCGCTGTCATTGTGTGTTTGTGAGTTGTCCAAATTCTGTGGTGTGCTGTTGTTCGTTAATGAGTCGTTCTCGTTTGTGTTCAGTTTATTGTTAGTATAATATATATTTGTCGACCCTCTCCTTGTTAATGACAGGGCGTCCATTTGTAGTTCGCATATGTCGTCGTCTGTATCTAGCAGTTTTGTGATTTGTGCGTCGCTGTAATTGTATACCATACTTTCTGTTTGTATATCACTACTGTGTATGCCCTGCTCTAATTCCATCAGATTGTTAATATAGTTGTTATTTGGGTTATCCGTTTCTGTGTCCATATCCGTGCCAGTTTCCGTTGTCTTTACAGGTACCGCTATATGTGGACAGTTATTGGGATTAATTTTATTTATGCCTATCAGTTAACCTATATGTGTGTTGGTTTGTGCGAAAATTTCGCCGTTATTGTTGACTGTGTGAAATTCAATATAATTACGATAACTGCATGTTAAACTATGAGCTGTGTAATAACCTTATAGTAGGCCACTTGTATGATTATACTCAACGGATTATTCCAATTGAATTGATTGTATAATATGCTCAGCGATGAAATTTTGTCAAACTCATGTTTGTATATGTTGATAATTTATAGCGTATTTTGACTCATGAATAATATATAATTCGTATTGTATAGTTCAGTACATGTTGTATTGCATGGCGTCTCTAATAGTAATAAACAGATCGAGATATTAAATCTGCTTGCTTGCTTGCGTGCGTGGTGCGTGTGTGTGGGTTGTATTGTACTGTACATGTGTTCGGTCGAGAAAACTGTCATGTAGAGCGAGCCTGGTGTAGCTTTGCTTTCCGTTCCCTATTTTGTAACTCGCAATATTTTAATTTTGGGATAGGTAATAGGACCTCTACATGCGTCTTGGACCTGTGGTGTACTTAAAATCATTATTTATCTAATGGATCACTGTTATTTTCAACGGGGTCTTGAAAGTAGACCATGCCGTGAAACATTGTATAAAAGGTGCACGCGTTGTTTTGTCTCTTTTTGTCATTCCATTGTAGAAATATCGTGATTGAAGTTAGCATGTGCTGTATGTAAAGTTATTACTTGGTAATTGATAGGTGTAACTTGATGATGCACATGAATTTATCGATATCACAGGGTCGGATTTGACCATACTGCGATGTTGTAAATTAGGAATTGGTAACATGACTTGTGATTTTGCGCTGTGTAATTTTCCTGTATCTCATTTGAGTAAAAGGTTTTCTTAAATATATCTTCACAGGGTCTGGAAAGTAGACCATGCAGTGAGATATTGAAATTCTTCACCGGCCAAGGGGTTGAGAAAAACAATGATGTGGCAAAGAGTCTCGTTTTGCGCAAATCAAACAATAAAAACCCAGCATCAGATGTCCTTCAATTAGAATCAAGTCAGTGAGAATTACGCGGCAGCCAGCGGACAAAGAGAGTTTATAACAAAAAAGATAGAAATTACTGGGAGGTTGAGATTAGGAATAAAAGAAGAAATTACAGTTGAATGAATATAACTACTTGAAATTACCCATCTCTTCCAAAACAGGCCCTGTTTTGTTGCATAATCCAATGCATTTGTTTAATAGCAAGGTCTATTGAGCAAAAATATCTGATTTCCATGTCTATTTCTTAAATAATTAAATATTTTATTGACCAAAATTAGTACTCTTTTGAGAATTGCTAAGGGTTGTGGCTGTTTTGGCAGAAATGGGTTAAGCTATTGTTAGATAATCAATTTCATTAATTGTGTTTCATGGATGTACAAATAGATATTAATATAATGCTATTTTACACATAGAGATACTTAATTTCTCAGGCCAATATCTTGGGCTTGGAATAACTTGCCCATCCCTAAGTTCATACGTCTTCGGGCTCCATGACAGGAATGGTCGAAGCTTAATGGGAAAGTCTATGGCTAAACCATCTCCTATGCTGTCCATTACTCTGTCCCAATTATTTGGAAATTTGCAAGCCTGAAAATCAGACTTTTGTTACAGTACAGCACCTTTTTGATTGCTCTTTTCCCCCTTCCCACCAAAAAAGTATCTAAAAACATCATGGCGAAAAGGGATGACAGTCGGTAGTATACTCCTGGATTTCAGTTGCTCCAATATACCACAAGCCAAAGCATTTCTTGAATCCTGAATTATTTCATCAGGCATGTACAATGCTGGGTTTTCAAAAGCTCTGAAATATAATACAAAATATGAGTTGTGCTGGAAAATCAATGAAAACCATACAAAATTCTGCACATTATAGATTCCTCTAATGGTAGATCGACTCAATCATGAAACATCAGTTATATTTTGAGATGTTTAGGTAAATAGAAAAAATAGTACAGTACCTTAATGGGGCGGTATTCAAATTTTCCTCTGGCTCCCAGCTATTTTGTAAGCTGGAGAAATTTCTCCATTTCACATAATAATTTGCCTGTAATAAAATTATTCGAGTGTTAAAAGCAGGACATTACCGATCAGTGAGAGCATGGGAGAGAATAATTGTATATACGGCATATAACGAAGGTATAAATTGTGAATTTAATCTAAAATCAAAGACATTTTAAGCAATTTTAAAAATAAACCAGCTTTGAGTACTATATCAATTTCGTATACTTTATTATTTCACGCTCACCTTCCCTCGTTGAATTCTACGGGAAATCACTCTCTCAACTTCAAATAACTCACTCGAAGCTCTCGTTGTCTTTCTTTTAGATCACCTCGATGTTGATTTGCATTCATAAAAGTCGGCCGTGCTCAAATTATTCAACTCTTTGTTAAAAGACATTGGCGAATCTATTTATAATATTTGTTTATCGTCTGTTCGGAGTTGTCACGCGATTTAACTACGGCTTTGAAGCCGCGCATATGTCACGCGCCCGAGTGGGAACATTTTCTGCGCCCACAATTAAAACCGCTGACCGTCCGTGATTTCTGGCCATGTGCGCTTTCAATGGTTTTTATATATGGACGTCCTGATGTGTCTTTTTCAATTAATGTTAAGCTATTTTCACTTGTGCAGGACTTTTATTATTATTAATTCCAGACGTTTTTGTTAATATCTATATAAAAAATTGTGCACATAATATTATGTGTGATTTTTGTGGTGTTATATATATTTATAATATAGTATATGTAAATTCTGAACGCTGATTGGCTAAGAGCCGAGTTGATATAACTCAATGTCAACACGGAAACATCGGAAAATTTCTTTCTTTCTGTTTCTTTGTGCTATATTATAAAACAAATATAAAACATTATTTCCGTATTGATATATAGTTATATCAACGCTCGTGGAAATTGGGAAAACTCGAAATTGTGTGAAAACACTCCGCCCTTCGGGCGTCGTATTTCCACACAATTTCTCGTTTTCCCAATTTCCACTCGTGTTGATATAACTGTATATCAACACGGAAAATGTTTTGTATTTGTTAAATCTCATTCTGCATTGTTTGGATGTGTTTTCGACCATTCGTCTTTTGTCCTACTTATATGTCTGTTCTGCGTATGATAGTCCGTAAGCTATGTGACGTCGATTTTTGTAAAATTTGTAATTTATCTATTTTGTATGACAAGATGTGTCCAGATAAGCCTGAGGCTTTTGGAAAAATAGTCCTTTTTAAAATTAAATATCGTTCAAATCAAAGGATTTTGCATATCTAAATTGCAGTGTCAGTTAAGAAATATAGCCTGCGTCACAGACGCTGGTGTATGTCGCATATATCATTATTCTCTCTGTATCACGACGTTGGAATTACGCATAAGCAGAAAGATTCTTCTGAACTGACAGAATGATCCTCGTCAGTACGAGGTAAATTAATCCACATTATTAACAAGCAGGAAAACTTTGTTGCTGGATGGTTCGCTAGCCTATACAGACTGCAGTCTCTGTCAAAAGTAAATGGAGTGAGTGTATTTATTGTATTTATTAATGAAACAACGAAATATTTTGTCAATATTCTTAAGGAAATGTTTTACACAAAAAAGCAATAATTATATTTCCGCGCTTTTTGCTGTGGTCAATCGAGTTATTATTGAGCTCGCATTCCAGGCAAACAAAAAAGTTCTTATAAAACATATTAACTAATATGTGTTGTAATTCTCCTGAAGAGTTTTGTATATGGAATTTAATGAGTGGAAATTTATATACTTTTATTTGACTTAACCAGAAACAGCTGCAAAAAACCTACATCCCGGGCAGGAATCGAATCTGCCGCCCTGCGATGCCGTTACAGTGCTTTGTTGGCATCGAGTGAGATGCCAACAAAATGTATATATAATTCTCTGTCGTTTGGTGCACAACCATGTACAAATGAAATGAACCTGTGTGCCACTGGCGTACGAAAATGTACTCGATCTTATTGCTGCATATTAAATAGACAATCATTAACTGTTTATGTCTTTAAAATATTTGAATTGTGTTGTAACTGGTCTGTGTCTCACAGACTGATTATAGGCGCGTTTTTACTCTGGAAAATGCGACGAATTTCGTGCCAAATCAGTTAACTCATGCACAATAAAGATACATTAAAGCTGCGTTTACACGCTGCGATTAATCGTGCACGATTCGTTTTCTGGTTATGTCATTGAGTAAACATGCGTAAGCTGGCTACATTTGAAATTTCCTTTTAACAAAACGGCAATGAATTATGGCGTCAGCACACATTTTAATACGTCTGAATACGAATCGTACACGATTAATCGTTGCGTGTAAACGTAGCTTAAGCTTCGAGAGAAGAATCCTCTTCGCCTGTATAAACTGTGTTTTTAATTTTTCCTCCCAGATAACACCAGTAGTGATCTTGAGGCATCTAATACCATGGATGGCGCTCAACTGCTGGTCACCCAGGATGAAACTGTTGATAATGTTGATAATGTTGAGCAGGTAGACGTTGATCATGAAAACGAAATTAGTAGTCATGAAAGAAAAATGTTAGTACTACAGTTATTGATCTTGGGACTTTCTCTCCAAAACCTTGGTAAAATTGAAGAAGCCGTGAAGAATTACGAAAAAGCCGTTGAAATTGCGGATGAAGGAGTTCACAATGAGATCAAAGCAAAAGCTTATCAACGTGTTGGAAATTCATATACTGCGACCTCTAAGTACAAGAAAGCAATTGAATATTATCAAAAGGCGCGCGAAGTATATCCAGGCATTGAAAGAGATAAATTAGAGGTATTATCATATCTGTGGTTAGGTGAAAACTGCCTGCAAGCTTCCCAGTACAAAGAGTCCATCGAGTCTTACAATGAAGTTGTAAAATTTGCATCACAGCTGGGAGACATAAAGCGGGAAATCAATGCTTACCTTGGATTAGGAAGTGCATTTTGTTATAATGACGACTTAGAGTCCTCGCAAGAGTATTTGTTAAAAGCTCTTACAGTAGCAAAACAGATCAACGACAGAACTCTCGAAAAGATGGCATATACGAACTTGGGATATTTATACTATAGGAATAATAAGTTTGATGCAGCTGCCCAGTCATATCTCAAAGTTCAAGATATTTCCCATGAATTGGTCAGAAAAAAGAAGAAGCAAACGCATGTCTCCTACTCGGTGACACATTCAGTGAAGAATGTGATTACGAATTGGCGATTGAGTGGTACGAAAAGGCATTGAATATTTTTGAAAAAGAGTTTTATGATAAATCTTTGCAAGAGAAGGCTTTGACCGGTTTGGGAACTGCCTGCTTCAATCTTGGAGATACTGAAAAAGCAATCGAATGGATTCAAGAAGCTCGAAAATTTGCTGAACACGAAACAGACACAGGTAATTCTTTCAAATTAATCAGTATATTGTGTTATAAATTTTTCATTTATGCGAGTAAAAGGATCGATAGTAAGATAAATTATATAAACTAAAGTTCGATAATAACATACTTATTTAGATACTCATTAATAATTAATAATTAATAAGCTTATTGGCATATCATGTCAACCATAATATGCCACGTGAAGAGGCTTTATACGTGATAAAACTCATCTTCATTAGTATTCTTTATATAAAAGTCCATCCTAATCAGTATTCTTTATATAAAGAATAGTAATTAGAAGGCATCTATTGCAGTCGTGTTAAAAGTTATTCAGAACACTTGTAGTCGTGTTTTATCATGTCTAAAATGCTCGTGCTGCGCACTCCTACACGTGATTTAAACAAGGTCGGCGAGAGGGGGGCAGGGGGAGGGGCAAAATGCCCGGGACCCGGAGTGCTAAGAGGGCCCCGGAAATCTCGGTAAAATGTTCGTATCGTTTATCATCCGGCACTATGTTTGTCGTAAATGAAATACGCCTACTTGCACACTATCCGCTGATCGTCATGATCTCAGCAAAACAGTTAGCATTTTTTTTAATTTTTATCAGTTGCATTTTTATCAGTTATGCGGCGATTTCTTGCAAGTAATTCGCTGGCAATTTTCTCGTTGATTGCGATTAAAAATAGCAAGCGGGAGAACCGAGAGGGACAAGGGGCCCGTGTTCACCAATCGTCAATCTCGTTCCCCGAGCCTGCGATCCTTGGGAAGGAAACGAAGGCTCTGGGATAATCCATGTCAGACATACAGAAAACTGTACGTCGACCGAACTGCGCATGCGTTGGCAAAAGCAAAACAAATTGTTTGAAATATTTTATTGTTTCGTCTATAAAATTATGATTTTTTCTGGGTTTTGGTGGAAATGTTCATGTTATTCATAGTGGGATACAAAACGTGTGTTAGTGACTGAATAAGGAAAATATTGCGTGTGAAACAGGGTCAGTATAGAGCCGGCAGGAGCCGCGAAGAGTGCTGTTGTCAAAGAGAAATGTCACAATTAATTGCAATCTTGTCCATTCCGGCCTCTGTGTCAGTTTGAATAAGCTTTAAATGTAGAGACATTTGTGGTTTCTCCAGCATAATTTAGCCGTTTAACGCTATTATGTTTCTAATGGTTGAAAGAGCGCGTGGAAAGGGCAATTTTCAAGACCAAAAACAATTACAATGTACTGTGTGTTAATTGCTACTGTAGTAGTAAAATACCTAAAGAGAGTCTCAATTCTAATATTAAGTCGGTTATAAACCTTGATAATATGAAAGTTTTCAGAAGATTTGTATACCAGAGGAATATTAAAAGGAATTTAGACTTATAAAACATATCATTAAAAATATGAATATAGTGAATTCCATGTTTATATTGTGTTATCATCTCTAGAAATTAACAGTTTATAAACCAAATCCTTGCTATATTTTTTAACCGCCCTTATAGCTTTCCTTATATGTTTTAATATTTGGAAGCAGTTTAGTAGGTTAGGGATGCACAACACTTTTCAAATTATTGAATAGTAACCAAATTTTGTGTCAGGATAGGAATTACTATTAAAGATTTAGCTACAGTTTGTCATGATAGAGTTGGAGAAAGTTAAGCTGCAATGTGCCTCAGTTAGCCCTACTTTGTTATTTTAAGCTGTTTAATGCCAGAATTTTTTCTCGTCAAGGAGAAAGTATTGGACTTGGTATTTGAATGGGTTAACCAGTCCATCTGCATGTCTACCTATCTTTGGTTAATTATCTCATTAGATCATAAGCCACAATGCTCTTAGTGCACCTTTTTTGTTATTTCACTGTACTTCTGGACAATATTTCTCACCATTGGCCAGAAATGTACCTGACTTCATGTTGATTACTACCATTATATCACATTTGTGTCGGTTTTTTTGATCGTACGAGGTTTATATAACTAGCTAATTATATACCTTGACTAAAGGATTAGATTAAACTTGTAGACAAAACGCGGGAATTTTTCATTAAAAATTTTTGAAAATGACAAAATATGTTAGAAAACCTACACAAATGTGATATAAGTATAGGTTATTTTGAGGCAACGATGGGATATGTGATTTATTCACCGAGGCGCGTAGCGCCGAGGTGAATAAACACATATCCCCGAGGTGCCTCAAAATAACGTACTTATTTTTCACACTGCGAGGTCGCGTTAATGAGTCAGAATAGAAATAATTCTTAATGCCATATTGCCTTCGTTATGTTGTTTTTTTTTCTCATTTTTTTGTGCAGCAAAGACATTGCAGGTGAATATTAGAGGGGATTATTAATTGCAGGTGAATATTAGAGGGGATTATTAAACGGAAATTGATTAGAGGGGAATATTGAATATATTCCCCGCTAAGAACAAAGGAAACCGAGCAGGGTGAAAAATAAGTATAAGTTATTTTGAGGCAACGAGGGGATATGTGATTTATTCACCGAGGCGCGTAGCGCCGAGGTGAATAAACACATATCCCCGAGGTGCCTCAAAATAACGTACTTATTTTTCACACTGCGAGGTCGCATTAACGAGTAAGAATAGAAATAATTCTTAATGTCATATTGCCTTCGTTATGTTGTTTTTTTCTCATTTTTTTGTGATGCAAAGACATTGCAGGTGAATATTAGAGGGGATTATTAATTGCAGGTGAATATTAGAGGGGATTATTAAACGGAAATTGATTAGAGGGGAATATGGAATATATTCCCCGATAAGAACAAAGGAAACCGAGCAGGGTGAAAAATAAGTTAGTTATAAACCTCGAAAGTCGGTTTATAACTGACATATTGCCCTCGGACGTTGCGCGTCCTCGGGGGCAATATATCAGTTATAAACCTCCTACTCTAACCTATAATAATCTAACCTATAATAAAAATATTTCTATGGCTTGGCATTTACATTGGACAATTTTTATCATTCATCACAAAATTATACCTGCACCCTAGGTGGTTCCCTGCAGGGGGTCATAACCAGGGGGAAGGTGATGAAAATGAATTCTGGTATTGGTGGCTAATCACTACATTTAATATTTTTTGTGAATAGAACATTTCTTTTAAAAAGTATATGAATATATTAAAAATATTTATATGGTTTCCGAATCTGGGATTCATACTTTGTAACATTTGGATCAAAAGGTTTATGACGTTTTCTTGGACAGAACCCAATTAATACAACCTCGTACAGAGGGAAGAGCTTCTTTGAATTACTGTGTGGACAAGATTAATAAAGGGATTGCCTTGGCATATTGTACTACTCAATAAATTAAAATCGTTAAATACTTTCTGCTACAATTAGCTGTAATATTATACTGTGTATTATTGTGTTTCATATGATGTCATAAATTTGACAGGGGGTCAACTCTGAATCGAGACACAATTAATACAACCTCGTACCCTGGGCCTTTGCGCGGTTCAGAGGCTCTGGTACGGGAAGCAAAGGCCCTGGTAAACACTGGTCATGTGACTCCAAAAATATTGGACATTTCGTAATAATTTAGTTTTCAATCCGGGGGGAGCGGAGCCGATTTATTTTATCAAACATGGCAGCGCGAAGTTTTCGAGTTTTCATATTATTATGATAAATAAAACTTTCCTAGTGAGATTTAAGAGTGGGTATATATTATCTATGCATTCTACGAGCTTTCTTTCAACAAATTGTGGAAGAGCTAACGGTAATAATTATCAAAGATTGAAGGATGAAGATCAAACTGAGAGAAAACTAGTCGAGTGATCTGTCTTTAAACTGTCTATTTTGTATCCAATGCAGCTGCTTGTGTGCGACGTTTTATAAAGAATTAAATAAACATTGTTGATTATAAGTAATTTTTATGTATTGACCAAAGAATATCACTTGGGATTTTATTGTACTTTTATTGAAGGATAAATCAGAGGGGACATCTGTGGAAACGAAATTCTTTAGTTCATGTGTATTAAACATGTAGTTAATATCAAAGCAGAATATTTTGAAACAATTAACTGGTCGAGTGACAGGTTGATTTCCGTATGTATGTAGTTTAAAATACAGTTGTGAATGAAAATATACAGAGTATCGATCTTGAAACCTTTGTGTGTGTGCGTTAATTTCATATTTATTTTTTGGGTTGTATCATTTATATTTCTGTTTGTCTGGAAGGGGGAGGGGGGGGGGAGTACCAATCCTGAATCATGAGAAATAATATACAGTGATCTTGAAACAAAAAATTTACTATGAATCTTATATCAGTGATATGTGACTTAGGAGTCTTAAAGGCAAATAACAGTCTGTATACTGGGTGTGCGTTCACCTATATTTGTTTACATTTGCAGTTACTGTACATCGGTTCATGATTTATGAAATTTGAACCAAAGCTGTAACATAATATTAGTCACGGCACAAGTCACTATGCAGAGTTTTATTTGTATTGAGGAGGTAGGGCTTCTAAGAGAGACACAGAGGCTTAACGAATATGGTTACACTGAATTTTATCAGTAAGTAAATTTCATTTTTTACATCCTGAAACCAAAAATTACCATATTATGCATGAATTACATATCACTTTCACTTGTCACAGAGTGAACATACCAAATTCAAACAACATTCACACTGTTTCTAGATGAAATAATCAACCGATATTTTGGGCAAACAATATAATTCATGAGGGGAAAAAATAAATATTTATATGTGTCACATAGTTTCAAGATCAGCTAACAGGATTGCAACCAGCTTTCCCAGTTATGCTTGGAGCTGATGAGAACAGTTAGTTTTGAACACAAAATGGCATGGGACTTAATTCATCTAGGTGGCAATATATTGGCTTCTCACCAGCACAATTAATCAAGTCATACACATTCATTACTGCCAATCTCTATTATTTATGTCTCATCACAAATACAATATATTTTTGATCATTATCAGCAGTATCATTACAACTTGTGCATCACCAATATCATCACAATTTGTATTTCACTACCATCATCATCATTATTCTCACCATTCTAATTTTATTAGTCAATCAGAATGAATAAAAAATTTCCTATTTTACACCACTCATATATTACTTATAAATTGCCCAAGGTCATGGCCATTTCACATCACTCCAGGATCTGAATACCCTGCAATCACCTTTTCGATATAATACTAAAAAAAACAAACGACAAATGTCTTACTGGCACACTGGAATATCATAATGGCCATATAAAATAACTGTCATTTCAAACCACATTCTGCTGTAACAGCACAACTGCTCAAGGTTGCAAGGTAAATAATAGGGATGTAGTAAGGCCAGTATTACTGGTAATTGTCTTTTTACATTTTGCTCACAACCAAAGTCCAATTATATGGAGCAAAATTCCACTTTTTCTTACTCACTTAACCTTACACTTGACAAGCAAAATCATTTCAAACCACATTCTGCTGTAACAGCACAACTGCTCAAGGTTGCAAGGTAAATAATAGGGATGTAGTAAGGCCAGTATTACTGGTAATTGTCTTTTTACATTTTGCTCACAACCAAAGTCCAATTATATGGAGCAAAATTCCACTTTTTCTTACTCACTTAACCTTACACTTGACAAGCAAAATTGTCTGGTGTTGGACAGAGAAAAATAACAAAGTATGCCATATTTGATTATCCCATATTCCCATTCCTATAGTGTGACAACACAAGACTCTCCCTAATTGGATGGGTAAAATTGGTGGCTATGGAGATTTAATGGCAAGAAGTGGGGGAAACATTTTCTCCAGTAAAATTTATGGGGGCCATTGGAAATTTATGGGGGCCATTGGAAATTTATGGGGGCCATTGGAATTTTATGGGGGCCATTGGAATCATCAACCAGAGTATTGAGGCGATAAAGAAAAGAATACCTGACTGTAAAATTAATGTAATCTAACTTTCTTGTCACACAAAGTTAGGTAACGTTGGCATTTTCACACTTTTCTGTTATTATCGTACTATTCTGTTAAGTATTTATTGGATGAGTCAGAGACCAATGGATTGGTATGAGATTATGAAGGCAGTTAATTTGTAATTTTTGCATGTATTCGATCATGATTTTACATGCCAAATGATTTTACATGCCAAAGATAACTCCCGTTATGAAAGATTGAATATTTTCTGAGCAAGCTGGAACAGAAAATTTTGATTTTAGTGAATTACTAAGTGAAGGATGGAGATAACCAAAAAATATATCAGGCATGAAGGAGGGTTTATATCCAAAAGCGATGGAGGAGTATAAATTAAACAAAGAAAACTAATTATACAAACAGACAGCCACGAATCTGCTGGAATTTAGGATATATAAACTGATAAATATTAAAAGCATGAGAATATAATTTTATATAGGCATCCTAAAATCTTTTACCTCGAACTTATACTGCATTCTTTAAAGCATAATTCAAAATCCATGTGACTTCAAAGTTTATAATTTCCATCAAATAAAAACAAGCCTAAAATCTGCTGTCTGTTGTTTTAAAATATGAATTTTCAAACAATTGTTATACATTCATATTTTAAAAATCAAAGGCAAAATTATTTGTATTTGAATCTTTTATAGTTCGTGCATTGCAATGTTCAGTTGTTCATTCCCCCCGGGATAACATGACCTAAACAAAGGCCAGGTTACAAATGTCCAATATTTTTGGAGTCACATGACCAGTGTTTACCAGGGCCTTTGCTTCCCGTACCAGAGCCTCTGAACCGCGCAAAGGCCCGTGGGTACAGGTTGCCTCCTACAGAGGGCAAGGCTTCTTTGAATTACTACAAGATTAACGAGGGGATTGCCAATTTGGCATATTCTACTGCTCAATAAATTTACTGTAAATCATTAAATACTTTCTGCCACAATTAGCTGTAATATTATACTGTATATCATTGTGTTCCATATGACGTCAATTTGACGAGGGGTCAACTCTAAATCGAGACACAGTCATCAGAGTGAATTAATTTTTCACTGTATGTGTTGGCCTTGTACTTGGTGGAAAATACGTGCAATTTCATATCATTTGCTCACTCCAGTACAGCATAAGCATCAATAAATTTTAGGTTGACCCCACGTCAGCAGACCTGCCAACGTTCCCGCATTTCGCGTGAATGTTACGCATTCTGCTTTTATTCCCGCTGTCCCGCACGCATAACTAAAATGATCTTAAAGTTACGCATTTTACCATTATACTGCGCTATCCGGCCACTTTTCGTGCAATAACTCATTGTGAGTCATTGACAACGCTGTGTGCAAACGCATAGAATTAGAGTTAACAATCGACCAACCAAATAAAGACTTTCAAACGGACAGACGCATCGTGGCCTGGGGGTACGTGGCCAAATACGCTTTCTGACAGTCTGGAGACTCCAAATTTCCAAAATTTTCTCAACTTTTCTAGTCACATTAAACTGTAAGTAACACTGTCATATTGATCAGTAGTTATTTTACAGGTTATCTTCATCGTTAGACAGTAGTAAATCATTGAAATTTTGGGTAGCAAACACTCTAAAAATGCTATTTCCGACAGTCTAGAGAATTCAAATTTTCAAAATATTTTTGCTCGGCGCCAACCATGATAGCGCCTTGCGGGCGTCGCAAAATCAGGTGAATTGAAACAATTCATGCGGTAAATCTAACCTTATCCACCCCCACCCCCCTCCCCCAAGGGAAAATCCTCGCAACGGCCCTTGTCACGCATTCTTATCTTCCGAACTTGGCAGGTCTGCGTCAGAACGTGCAAAATGCCATAGTGAAACCTCAGAATTCATTATATATATTAGGTGTATGTAGACTGGAATACAAGTTAATATCACTGCCTGCGAAATTGTGGTTTATTTAGAGAATAAAGGTTTTTTGCACACTTCTATAAATAAATTATAACAGCAAAAGATTCATATGCACGTGCCCATATAGGAAAAGGTTACATGCTACAAGTTAAAATGAGTATTACATACTCCTGCACTTGAAAAGTTTACAGTACAGTATATACATTAAATAATAAAATATATAACAGTAAATCCCAAGATTGGATTTATTGAAACGAGTCATTAGCTAGTTCTTCGCAATTAAATAACACACAGACAAATTAATAAAAGTTATTAACCATTTCTGACACAAATAGTATTTGCAAAATATAGCACATATTTGATATTATAGTCAAATAGTACAGTGTACTGACAGTACTGTATACGATGTATAGATTAAAACTACAGAAAACCTGTACAACACAAATATGAGTAAAGTTTTCATGCTCCATTTAACTGTGGTGATATTATACGCATTAAGTATACGTTCTTTGCATTTCCTTTGTAGTATTAGTATATAGCATAGCTCTGAAAAACCAAAACAATATTCGTACACTCCTAAACGGCCGCCACGTTGTATATAAAAATATACGGTTAAAAATTAATTTTTGCAAAATTGCAACATTCCATTGTATACCAGCAACCAATCATATTCATTTCTGACATGGATTATCCCTGAGCCTTCGTTTCCTTCCCAAGGATCGCAGGCTCGTGGAACGAGATTGACCAATCGTCATTTTGTTCCGGGGTCCGTGGCTGGCTCTAGCCGGCCTTATATTTAAATAGCACATAATGTTCTCTTCTCTTTCTTCTAATTTGTTTGTTTCGTCTGCTTCGAATTCTCATGTCTTGTCTTGAGTTTCTGCTTGACTTTGCACATGCTGTTCTGCATGTATCCACTGACTAAAGTTGAGCAGGACACCTCCTTGTACACTACGCACGGTCCAAGGAATATTTGTCTAGCAGACTGAAAAATTATAACATAATATTATAATTTCTTGACTGCGCAAAATAAACCCAAGAATAATCGACGGCCCTAAACATTCGCACACGCAAGTTTCACGTTTATATTTATCATGCATGCACACGTCTTTGTCGGACTTTGACTTCTTAAATAGGCTATAATTTATCTAAATTTGAAAAACTCGATAACAAATCATGCGAACAAGACAAAGAAAATCACTACCGTGTTATGTACTATTTAAAACACGAGTAGGAGTGTTTTATCAGATACAATATATAAATCTGATAAAACACGACAACGAGTATTGACAACGAGAACGAGTATTCCATCAAGTATGTACAACAACGAGTATACCATCGAGTATTGTACGACAACGAATATACCATCAAGTTTGTTTTCTCAGAATTTCTATCCTTGTGTAACGGTAAAATTGGAATTTAACTTTACGGTTGAGCGTCATAGTTGCATTGTCTTGTATGTAAAATGTGACGGGAAAAATGGCTAGAGCTAAAGGTAGACACATCAGCCTTGCAACTTGCTTAAAAAAGTCTAACGAGCAAACTTAACGAGTATATTTCTTCTGGGAATTGCGAGCAAGGAAAGCTTCTTGGGTTAAAGAACACGCTCTTGAAAAATGTTGAGCAATATAGTGTTGTACTAGCCTGCGAACAGGCTCTCAAGGTGACTTGAGAGCCTGCACTGATGATATACAATTTTGAATATCTGCCCCGGAACGTTCGTTTTTCCAAATATGGAATGTCTATACTTATATGGTGTTGTTTACAACTTTCGTGCAAACTAAATTTAGACCGTGCAAACTAAATTTAGACCGTACAATTTATACTGTTTTTCAAAATATAAGATATCAAGCAAAAGTTTAAATGTTTTAAATTCTGTTTTCTCAAAACAGAGTGCTTTGAGATAAAATGGCCAAGACCAATTTGATCAGTTAATGTGCTTTTTATGCATAGTGCTTCAGCAGTTGACATATATAGAGCTCAGCGGAAACATATAAATTATAGCATCTGACCAATAAGAATTTCGCGTCACGATTTGAAACGCAGATATTCATATTCATTAGTCATCGATGCAGGCTCTCATTTCACCTTCAGAGCCTGCTCGCAGGCTAGTGTTGTACATGAAGAATTTTTATCCTTGATTGACAATGAGAGCATAGAGACGGAAGTAATTAATCACATGAAAAGTCTAGAGCCAAATTATCAGGTTGTAGCCAGGACAGATTTAGAACTTGATAAAATTAAATGCAATCAAACCAATAGTAATGCAAATTATTTAGCATGGAGTGTGAATGGTAATAATTATACTGTTAGCTCTCAGATCTATTGCAATCTATTGCTTATCCCCAATTTACTGGTGATCTTCTTGCCACCTATATCATGATTTATATACAGAAATATCGGGACAAAAAGGCAAACAACTGTAGGCTGTTGTTTAATAAACCCAATCCAGCAGAATCTATTCAGCTTTGCCAATGCAGGCCAGATTGGCGGAAATTATTGTGAACAAGTCGCCTCGTCCAGGATCAATACAGAGTCAGGGGCATTGGTTGGCTTCAATTTGGACGTCATGTATGGACTATTTCATGGACTGAAGTAAACGAACCCGATTTTACCGCTAATAACACTCCGGCCGCACGACTTTCTCGATCCTTTCTGAAAACCTCGTATTCAGTTGGTAGTAATTCAGCGTTCTCAATGTCTTTATGTAACCAGTGTTCCGTTACAAAAGCGAGGTCAGCGTTTTCGGGGTAGATCAGATCCTGAAAGCGCGTGGGATAGATTAGTAACTTGTTGACCGTTTACCGAGTGAAAACTCTTCAAGCTTCGAGCATTAATTGCCAGACAGTTTAACGAAGAACTCGCACGATGTTTTTTTCTGTTGTTTCACTTCTTGATTGACTAGATTGATCAGTCGCAGAGGCATGTTCAGGAACATATACTGGACCAGGATTGAGTTCTACATTTTTTGCCAAAAGAATCAATATGAATGGCAAAGTAGACCTCTGCAACAATACAAGTCCGTGTACAAAGCGATGAACAGATAGTAAAGTTACTGTTATGTTGGTGTTACATGAAGTATAGAATGTTGCATCAGGGGGGTCGGGGGATTTTGGAAATGAACACATGTGTGTAGGTTTTATGTTTTAAGTACGTTGAAATAAATAACTATTTTGAAGATATAACATTGGCGACGAGGGTAAATTTATGCATTACCGGTTAATATTAAAGAACGAGTGATTCATTTTGGGTATTTGCGAGAAGTGAAGATTCAAACGTGAGATAAAAAATCGGCAGACAATCTGACATATACGGTATTTGTGCCATTTTGTGAAGGTATTTGATCATGGCGAGCGCGGAAAATCTACAGCCCATGCCACCGTTTGACCCTAAGATGGATATTAGTGCTGTAGCACAACGTTGGGAACAATGGCTTAAGAGATTTCAAAGATATTTGCTGGCAATGGATATCAAGTTGAAAGCACGGCAGCGGGCTATGCTTTTGTACGCGGCAGGTCCCGAAGTGGAGGCCATTTTTGACACGCTACCGGATAATGGATACGAAGATGACTTTAAGACGGCGTGTGAAAAGCTCACTGAATATTTTTGTCCTTCTAAGAATGTACCTTTCGAGGTATATAAATTTCGTCAAGCTAAGCAACAAGAACATGAGACATTAGATGCATATTATACTAGATTATGTACTTTGGCCAAAACATGTGAATTTGCAGACACAGATACTGGGACATTACTAAACCACGAAACAGCGAAACGAAACAGCGAAACAACGAAACAGCGAAACGAAACAGCGAAACAACACTTTTATATTTCTTTAGTAAAAGAAATAAACTACATTTAAGTCAAACTACAAGGAAGTTAGACGAGATTAAATCCTTAAAGTTACAACGCCATCAGCACATAATTCATAAAAGTATTAACAAATGAATTTAATTTAATACTAATAGTCCCACGTATTGATCTTTATTATCGAATATTGGGAAGGATAGAAACTCTTCTGCTTTTCAAATACTATCAAAGTTTCCTCTGTTATAATTTCTTTGACGTTTTCATGTTGTTTTGACATTAAATTTTGGCTGTGAAACGAGCATGTGTGTGGCCGAGGTGCTCGGTCAAAACGCGCCAAGTCAAAACGACTCCAAGTCAAAACAACTCCAAGTCAAAACGACTCCAAGACCAAGTCAAAACGGCTATTACATGCCTTGAAAATTATTATACAAATAAAATTATTATTACACGAGTTCAAACTATAATAGGTTTTATGACAAAATTAATTCGAGGAATAGGTAATTTAGATTGTAAATAATGAACTATATGGAGTTATTTTATTCAAATACTCATATATGCCTATGGAGTTACTTTATTAAAATATTCTCATTATGAAATTGTATCGGATTTTTAAGTATTTTAGTCTTTTTGGTGCCTATTACAATATTAACTGTTGGGCCTCCTATGCCTATGGATTTGTAAAGGTTTCACTAATACTTAATAGTAATAAAACATACAGTATACATGAAAATATTCTTCAATTTGGGTAAACGTTTCACAGTTTTGATGCTTATTTTACTTTTACCTACTGAGTCTATTATGTGCTGATGCCGTGATGGCGTTGTACTGTTGTAACGGATTAAAATTTCATCTCGTCTAACTTGATTCTAGTGTGACTTAAATATAGTTTATTCCTTTTATAAAAATAATATAAAACATGTTGTTTCGCTGTTTCGTATCGCTGAAACTTTCGCTGTTTCGTTTCGCTGAAACAACAAATAATTGAAGGATGTTTATCTAACAGATTGCGACGAAAGATTTTAATGGAAACAACATTTACCCAGTCGCAAATATTAGATTATGGAAGAGCATTAGCTCATACAGACCAAAAAAACAAAGGAAATTATAAAAAAGGACATTTCTGATGGTAATGAGGAATATAATAATCAATTACAACATGATCACCGAAGACCTAGAACAACCATTAAGTACTCGTCATCATCTAGTAAGAAATGTTTTAAATGTGGACTGGGGTTTCCACACAAGGATAATCAGAAATGTCCAGCTGTAGATAAAGAATGTTACAAGTATCATAAAAGGGGGCATTTTGCTCGTGTATGTAAAACAACCGGTGGAGCTACTAGTTCATTCAAGCGTGTTAATAAGGTTGATGAACGGCATTCATCAACCCACAAATCAACACGTAATTCGAGTAGTGACTCAGACAGCGGTTCAGAACTAATGTTCATAGTTCAACAAGCACAACAAAGTAAGCATCCCTATTCTACGGTCCGTGTTAATGGAGTCCCGATGAAAATGATGGTGGACAGTGGTGGGTCTGTTAACGTTTTGGGTCCTGAGGAATTCGAACATTTAAGCAAACAAAGCAAAGAACTAATATCCTTAAAAAAATCTAACACAAAGATTCGTGCTTTTGGAGAAAATAACCCTAATCCTAGATCCCTATTAGGCAAAGTGGAGACATTAGTAGAATCAAAACATTGTATGACAGTGGCTACAATTTACATTACAGCATCTCAATATGGTAAATTGCTTAGTAATACAACAGCACAGCAATTAGGACTTATTAAGTTTGATCTAAATTCAGTTTCTCAGCAAGCAGTGCAAGAGGGTGATTTGGATAGAAGAGCTTTGCGACAAACCACAACCCAAGTTGAGATACCTACTACAACCATTAACTCGACAAATAGTAATGGTGAGAAAAGGACAAAAGTATGCACAAGTACGCCAGACACAGGGCGAGTCTCTACTCTTTTAGAAGAGTACGCGGATGTATTTGAAGGTGTACTAGACATCTTAAATGGTTTGAACAAAAACTGCACATTGATGATAGTGTGCCACCTGTGGCCCAAACATACCGTAGAATACCTTTTAATCTTCGTCCCCAGTTAGAGAAGTGGCTTCAAGAGTCGCAGGATAATGATTTGATTGAACCTGTCGTTAATAAAAGTACAGAGTAGGTCAGTGGAGTAGTGATCGTGCCTAAGCCGAAAAATCTGGATGAAATACGTGTATGTGGGGACTATCGCAGAGTTAACGAAGCCATTAAGAGGGAACACCACCCTATGCCTACAATTGAGGAACTAACAGATGATATGAGCAATGCAGCTCATTTTACTCGCCTAGATTTAAGAAGCGGATACCATCAAATTGTGCTTAACGAAGAATCGCGTGGTATAACAACTTTTACGACTCATAAAGGTCTTTTCCAGTGGAAAGAATCCCTTTCGAAATTAACTCGGCAAGCGAAGTGTTTCAAAATGCTATCCAGCATGCATTGCAAGGATTGAATGGAGTTAAAAACATTGTTGATGAAATAATTGGTTGGGGGCGAACTCAAAAAGAACATGATGCCAATCTTCAAGCTCTATTGCAGAGACTAAGAGACACCGGATTGACTGCAAAGAGAAATAAGTGCCTTTTCAATGTGGACAGTTTATGGTTTTATGGCATGATTCTTAGTAAGAATGGGATTAGGCCTGACCAAGAGAAAGTTGTTGCAATAAAAAATACACCTCCCCAAACAATGTAAAAGAACGTCGTAGCTTTCTAGGACTCGTGAATTACTGTTCGAAGTTTATTCCTAATTTCTCTACCATTACGGCGCCGCTACGGAAATTGGATCGCAAAAAGGTTCAATGGACATGGGACACTAGTCATCAAGAGGCCTTTCATCAGGTTAAATCTTCGCTATCTGAACAGTGTACGTTGGCCTATTATGACCCTAACAGATCAACGAGTGTTGTTGTGGATGCTAGTCCTGTAGGCCTAGGGGATATGTTGGTTGAACATGACGAACAGGGCATTTTGAAAGTGATTGCTTTTGCTAGTAGAGCACTAACACTAGTTGAACAGCGGTACTGTCAGACAGAACGAGAAGCGTTGGCATGTGTGTGGGCATGTGAGAAATTTCATTTATATTTAGTTGGTTGTCAGTTTAGCTTGTATACAGATCATCAAGCGTTAGAAATCCTTTACTCAGCAAAGGCCAAACAATCTGCTCGAATACAGAGATGGGCATTGCGCCTCCAGCAGTATAACTACACGGTCAAGTATCGTCCAGGCACGGGGAATCCGGCAAATTCCCTTTCGTGGGCACCAATTAATAGCTATCGGGACAGTCTATTGCCGAAGAATATATTAACTTTATAACAGAGCAAGCCATTTCCAGAACAATTACCTTGTCAGAGGTGCAAGAAGCGACAAAGAACGATAAAGAACTGCAGTCAGTTGGACGAGCACTTCAGTTTGGCAACTGGGAAGACAAATCCATATCAGCTTATTTTGCAGTACGGCATGAAATAACATCAGTAAGGGGTGTACTGTTGAGAGGACACCGACTGATTATACCAATATCACTTCGAAACAGAACTCTAGCTCTGGCACACAGGGGACACACGGGAATTGTCAAGACCAAATAAAATTTGAGAACCAAGGTCCGGTGGCCTAGATTAGGTAAAGAAGCAGAGCAACATGTAAAGGAGTGTTTGACGTGCCAAATATCTGGTAATCCTGAACCCCCTCCGCCTCTAGCACTTGTTCCCACCTCCAATGGCACCATGGTCATATATTCATGTTGATTTTTATGGACCAGCACCTACAGGAGAGCATCTATTGGTGCTGTTAGATGAAACGCCCGGATCCCAGAAGTTGAGATTATGAATAAAACAACAGCTTTTCATACAATACGAGCGTTTGAAAAAAGTTTTTGCCCGACACGGACTGCCAGACACAATTAAGAGCGAAAATGGTCGCGTTCCAGTCCAAGGAAGTTAAGGACTATCTGACAACACAAGGCATCCATCATCACCGTGTAACACCTTTACGGTCCCAGGCCAATGGAAAAGTGGAAGGCTTCATGAAACCTATGGGTAAAGCTATTCGAGCGGCTTGGGCAGAGGGTAGAGATTGGCAAAGAGAACTATTCGCATTTTTTATGAATTATCGTACTACGCCCCACCTATCTACAGGTGTGGCGCCAGCCGAGATGCTTTACAAACGAGTATTTCGATCTACCGTTCCGTCTTTCTCTCAGGAGGCACCTTGGCATACAGCTGCAAAAAGGGTTTTGAAACTGAAGGCTAAGTCAAAACAATATGTGGATGCCAGAAGACGTACACGAAAGTCAACGATAAAGGAAGGACATACAGTGTTGGTGAAACAGAAAAAGAAGAACAAGTACTTATACAACCACGTTTCGTCCTCAACCATACAAAGTTATCAATGTGCGATATTCCAGAGTAACAGCGCAAAGTGGTGATCATGTGAATACAAGAAACGTTTCGCATTTTAAGAAATTTAGTGGAGCGTATAGAGAAACTGTTCCAAATCCCCAGTCAGAAGATGATGTTACCATTGCGGCCACACAAGCAGGACAGGACAATGATCAAGACATAATTGAAAATAGATATCCTTTAAGAGCAAAAAGAGGCGTACCGCCAGATTTTTATGGACGGTAAATAACTCTGATAGTTATTTGTATACTTAGTTGTGTTATCAATCGTAGCATGGACTACAGGTTTTAGTTCACATTACCCGATTCACTTAGAACTATTTGTTCTTAGAGAAAGAGGGAGATGTTATGTTGGTGTTACATGAAGTATAGAATGTTGTATCAGGGGGGTCGGGGGATTTTGGAAATGAGCACATGTGTGTAGGTTTTATGTTTTAGGTACGTTGACATAAATAACGATTTTGAAGATATAACTGTTACATGTTGCTTATATAACTTGACAAGCACGATAAAAACATGGCGGATCAATAACTTTCGTTGTTGCGAAGTACTGAATTAGCTTCCTTTCTTTCGTATTTTGGATTCCACGTAAAACCAGCCACAGGAAAACAATACAGTAGCTCCAATTGAAGAAATTCATTGCTAACTGGTTTGAGAATTGGTCCGTTCTAATTAAATTAGAGCTATAAATGTGACGTGTTCGTTTTCACTGACAGACTAAAGCGAGCTAATGATTAAATTGCATAACTAATAGTGGGGAGTCCCCTAATTATAGAGAAACCAAAGATGCTATTCAAGTTATAAAACCAAATTCAAAGGTCAAGAATTAGTTCATACGCGACAGTACATAAATAAAACTCCAAACGTACAAAAAAAGCACACGAAAAACTGCACCAAGAAAAACAATAAGTAACTCGGGGTGTTACGAAATAATAGACAAACACGATTCCAGTGTAGAAACTAGACTTTAAACGACGAAAGCTCCATTACAGGTACATAAAGATGTTGCTATGACGAATAACGCTAGACGTATATATTATTCTGATAATACCAACGGTCAAAATTTTAAAACTCACATTATTTAAATTGTATTTAACGTTTAACGTTAAAAGACCAAAACATGACACAATAACAGGAACAGAACACGTAGTCCACAGAGAAAATTTGAAACAAATCCAATAAGAAAAAAACGAGAAAATGACCAAACCAAGTTTACAAATTGTAAGGACGAGCACTGCAACACGATAGACAACTTCAGAAAGAAGAATCCAAAATATATGCGACGAATTACAAACAAACAGCACAAAAGATAAATCCACTGAATCACAAGAACTTTATGTTTAATTTGATACTGAAATAGTATCACTCCAAAGAAGAATGAGATAGAACACGATAAAAATTTACAGACACTGAGGCACCAGACAGTCCCCCACAGATCCAAGCACAATTGTAAATGATCCAAGACAAAGATCCAAGATCCAAGCACAAATGTAAGCAAAGCAAGGCCAAGGATCCTATAGGAAATTGGACCAAAATCTAATAGGAATTCCTATAGGAATTCCTTAGATTTACATAGAAATTGATGTTGGATCATATAGAAATTCTTTCATAATCCTCTAAATCAAACTGCCTAAAGGAGTTATTTACCAAGGTGAAGGAAAAAGAGAAACAACTAGTGAAAAAAAAATATTACAGATAAAAATGTGGAAAATATATAACAGGCTATATTTGCAAATAACATAATAATTTAGGCTATTTATCTTTTTAACTTATGACATTTTTCATTGTTCTCAGTTTAAGAAATGTTTCTTATATTTTCTTACTTTTAGAAAATTTTTACACATAAAATTCTACTATATTATATACCTAAGTAGTAATATAGAGGCCGATCGATCCGGATTTTTGCGGTGGTGGAGGTGGTGGAGTGTGGTGGAGGAGTGAGGAGGAGTGAGGAGGAGTGAGGAGGAGTGAGGAGGAGTGACAAGGAGTGAGGAGGAGTGATGACGTCACTCATTAACATACGTCAGAATTATATGCAATGACGTCACGCGGTCGAGCTTAAACACGATCTGTCGAAACTTGCTGACTACGCATTTTTTAGCATCCCCCCACGTGTATGATACAATTGAGGGATTAATCTTGGCTTACTATGATTGGTTGTTTGATTTAACGAGCGTCTGTATAAAATCGACAAGCGTCTTCTAACAAGCATAGTTCTGCATTAGTTCTACATCAGTCATGGAGTGTCTACAAAGAAAAGCTGCTGCCTCTACAACTACAAACAATAGTACATTTGGTTTTGTGGGGAAAAACCAAGCTGTAAGTTTTTTTGCCCAGACGAAAATTGTTATATGTATACGAGAGCTGTAGCCGCGTTTCGTGCAAGTGGTTTTATACATCCCGTATGTCCTACACATCAGAAATTTGCCAAGTTATGTGTAGTCAAAGACACAATGAAAGATAATTACGGACGACCCTTCTTCGTATGTTCTGAGCGAAAGAATCTCTGCAAGTTCTGGCAATGGGGAGACGTATTCGAAGGTCCAAGACAGTTATGTCAACATGGAATGGTGTGCTGTGAACGAAAAGTCAAGAAATATGGTCCGAATCAAAACCGTCTGTTTTACTGCTGTCGGAAGGACGACTCTTGTGGTTTCTTCGAATGGAAGCAACAAGTCCCGTGGGTGACCGACACTGGCATCGTGCTCTTAAATAATCCACTACAATACCGATTAATGTCCAATACCCATGCAAGATGTCCGATGGAAAAATCAAAAGGCCATTGGACATTCCATTTGTCAAATGGACTTGGAAATGTCCATTGCAGTTTTGTGTGTCCATTGGATCCAATGGACAAGTGGAATGTCCATCGGACATTTGCTTTTTCAGTTGGTCAATTACCATGTATTTGAGTGACGTAATGACAAGCACATGGACATCATGTAGATACAAGGCCAGTGAGATAGCCAAACGAAAGTGTCCATTGGATCCAATGGATCCAATGGACCTGGAAATGTCCATTGGAGTTTTGTTTGTCCATTGGATCCAATGGACAAGTGGAATTTCCATCGGACATTTGCTTTTTCAGTTGGTCAATTACCATGTATTTGAGTGACGTAATGACAAGCACATGGACATCATGTAGATACAAGGCCAGTGAGATAGCCAAACGAAAGTGTCCATTGGATCCAATAGATCCAATGGACCTGGAAATGTCCATTGGAGTTTTGTGTGTCCATTGGATCCAATGGACAAGTGGAATTTCCATCGGACATTTGCTTTTTCAGTTGGTCAATTACCATGTATTTGAGTGACGTAATGACAAGCACATAGACGTCATGTAGATACAAGGTCAGTGAGATAGCCAAACGAAAGTGTCCATTGGATCCAATGGATCCAATGGACCTGGGAATGTCCATTGGAGTTTTGTGTGTCCATTGGATCCAATGGACAAGTGGAATTTCCATCGGACATTTGCTTTTTCAGTTGGTCAATTACCATGTATTTGAGTGACGTAATGACAAGCAAATGGACGTCATGTACATACAAGGCCAGTGAGATAGCCAAACAAAAGTGTCCATTGGATCCAATGGATCCAGTGGACCTGGAAATGTCCATTGGTGTTTTGTTTGTCCATTGGATCTAATGGACAAGTGGAATGTCCATCGGACATTTGCTTTTTCAGTTGGTCAATTACTATGTATTTGAGTGACGTAATGACAAGCACATGGACGTCATGTAGATACAAGGCCAGTGGGATAGCCAACCTGGACCTGGAAATGTCCATTGGAGTTTTGCGTGTCCATTGGATCCAATGGACAAGTGGAATTTCCATCGGACATTTGCTTTTTCAGTTGGTCAATTACCATGTATTTGAGTGACGTAATGACAAGCACATGGACATCATGTAGATACAAGGCCAGTGAGATAGCCAAACGAAAGTGTCCATTGGATCCAATGGATCCAGTGGACCTGGAAATGTCCATTGATGTTTTGTTTGTCCATTGGATCCAATGGACAAGTGGAATGTCCATCGGACATTTGCTTTTTCAGTTGGTCAATCACCATGTATTTGAGTGACATAATGACAAGCACATTGACATCATGTAGATACAAGGCCAGTGAGATTGCCAAACGAAAGTGTCCATTGGATCCAATGGATCCAATGGACCTGGAAATGTCCATTGGAGTTTTGTTTGCCATTGGATCCAATGGACAAGTGGAATTTCCATCGGACATTTGCTTTTTCAGTTGGTCAATTACCATGTATTTGAGTGACGTAATGACAAGCACATGGACGTCATGTAGATACAAGGCCAGTGAGATAGCCAAACGAAAGTGTCCATTGGATCCAAAGGATCCAATGGACCTGGAAATGTCCATTGGAGTTTTGCGTGTCCATTGGATCCAATGGACAAGTGGAATGTCCATCGGACATTTGCTTTTTCAGTTGGTCAATTACCATGTATTTGAGTG